TGCTTTTGTTCAGGCTGATCTTGAACTCATAGCTCAAGCAATCCACCCGCCTCAGCCTCCCAGAGTGTTGGATTACTGCTGTGAGCCACTGTACTAGGCTCTTTTTACCCAAAGCCTGGCCTGTAGATTATCCAAGCCAGTATACTTGACTTAATGTGAAATAAAGAGTTGATATAATGAAATTACAAATAAAAATAAGGTATATGTTTTAAGATCACTTGGATTTTAGTATTTATTTTCTTTTCTCACTCGTCAATGAGTTTTCACAGGCACTCACTAAATAGTGTAGTTCAAAGTATGTCAAGATACTTAACTCGGATACGGTTTAGTACTATTTTGGAATTTAAAGTTTACTTAGGTCTCTGTCCTTACAGCTCTCTTATCCTTCTCCTGGCCTTCATCCCTCCTTAATCCACCTTATCTCTACCCTGTCTTCTCTTACCTGAGCTATTGGTGAGCTTCTGGTACTGCTCTTCCTTCTAATCTCACCTAAAAGATGTCTCTAAACACAAATTTGAATTTCTCTCCCCTCAGCTTCAAGTCCTAATGTCTCCTCTCTTCCCTCTGCCTTTGCTTTCTTCCTGTCTAGCTTGCATCTTTGTCTTTGGTTCTTTCTTCATAAGACCCTGAGCCTGAATGCCTGAACTTGTTTTTACCTCAGATGTTTTCTTGCCTTGAATTTCCTTTTATCCTCCATAATCTGTCGAGCCTCTTATCTTTTATAGAGTCCAACTTAGGAGTGTCCGTAAAAAGTCTTCTTTCACCTATCCAAGTCAAGGGACATGCTTTCGTTCTTTGTGTATCTCTACCGTGCAGATCGTTAGTGGTGTAATCATAATGTGATATAGATACCTTCTACTTAGAAAATGGCAACTTGAGAACTCTTATGGATAAAATGAGATATGTTCAAGAGCACGTTTGTTCAGCAGATTTCTGGGTCACATGTACATAGAATAATTTTTGATAATTCAGCAATCTGCAAATCTGCAAAATGAGCCACATTTGCTAGTTTGTATAGTGCTTGCTTTTTTGGTGCTTATTCTAATGTGTATTATTAATCTCATAATTAAGTTAGTTACAAAATTGTAAGGAGATAATATATATGATGAATATAAATATATAATTGAGATAAAAGTACCCCTTAAATTACATAAATATACATAAGGGTCGTATGTATGATATTGTAAATTTATAACTGGCTTTTATAATCCAACCTTATAGCAAATTCAAGAGCTGCTATGTTGTATTGTCTTGTTTTTACTCTTCAATTCCATTATTGTATAATGAATATTTACTTACAGCTGTATTATGGCATCACATTAAAATGATAGACAGTAGAGCCCCTGTAAGTTGACTACCCAAGGGATTGTAACAGGTATGTCAACATATAGAGATGGTCACCAAAGGAACTAGGCTTACTGTATGGATACATACATGTGGTGCATATACAGGCTATGAAAATTAGGTCAACTTAAGGAGGTGGTCAATGTGGGAGTTCAACTGCATAATCTTCTGTGCTAGTAACCACTGTACTGCTACTGCAAAGACTTGGAAGGTAGACATTCGTCCTCTGCTACTTTGGGATTTCCCTTGATGTGTGTTATAGGATCCTGCACATTGCTATATAATGTCTTTTTGATATTTAGAAAGAATAGTACAGATGTTTCTACTTGAGTTTTTTTTTTTTTTTTTTTTGCAGTTTTTGGCTGAGGCTAGGTTTGAACCTGCCACCTCTGTCATATGGGGCTGGCTCCCTAGTCCTTTGAGCCACAGGTGCCGCCCTCTACTTGAGTTTTAAGAAATCATTTAAAGCCCTATAAAGGCCTATACATTTTTTGATTTTTCTGTAGACCTCCATGTTTGCCAATGTCATAGCAGCTCCCAGTAATGAACGTCAAACATTAAATTATGTGTAGCACTTCTAAAAAGAACCATTTAGGGCAACAAAAATCCTCTTTCCTCACTGCATTTCTATATATATATTTTGTACATTCCGTGCCTGATAGATGATCCTTACCAGATTAGGGAAGAGAAGGAAGAATGAAATTTTGCTGCCCAATTTCTCTAGGTGAAAATAGATCTGTTTATTGAAATGATCACCAAATAAATTGGTGATTTCTTGTCAGCGAAAAAAGTGAAAGCACTTGAGAGACAATGGTGTTTGTTGTTTTTAAGAAACTATTTATTTTGTATGTTGACTTATGTGCTAATGGCTGTCTAAAATTCATATGTCACTTGCCGAAATGTCTCCATTATTTTAATTTAGAAGTCTGAAAAATTTTTCTGTCGAAATAGTAAAACAAGTATCCCTTATCCAAAATGCTTGGGGCCAGAAGTGTTTTGATTTTGGAATTTTTTTTGTTTGATTTTTCATTATATAATTTTTTTGCATGTATATAATGAGATTATCTTGAGGATGGGACACAAATTTAAACATGAAATTCATTTGTGTTCCATATATACCTTATACACATAGCCTGAAGGTAATTTTATATATGTTATTGAGAAATCAATAGGCTCACAGCCTGATATTCATAGAAGCCAACACCATGGCTCTAGCCTTTGAGAAAATAAAAGCTTTTCCAGTTGATTGTCATGAGACAGGAGAGAAAGCTCAGCTCTGTCTCGCTGAGCTAGGGGTTGAGTCAGATTTTACAAGTGTAAACGGGGTGATGTCAAGCTCCATCTGGCTGGATCTTGGACCCTGTCATTGATACTTGCTTCTTAATTCAGTTCCTCCTGCTCAGTCTGGTCTAGGCACATAGGTTTCACCTATGGTTGTGTGCTTGGTTCATCTAGGTGTGTTCAGGTTATGGTTACAAAATCTTTAACAATTTTATGTATGAAACAAATACTTGTTTATGTATGTTAAATACTTTTTTTTTTTTTTTTTTTTACATTTTTTGCCCAGGGCTGGGTTTGAACCCGCCACCTCCAGCATATGGGGCCAGCACCCTACCCTTTTGAGCCACAGGTGCCGCCCATTAAATACTTTCTTAAGGAATTTTCAACTTGTGACTTTGTTAGTGCTCAAAAATTTTGGCTTTTGCTTAGACAAAGGACCAAGAGTGATTTTTCCAACTTGGGTGTTCCCCTTTGCCAGAGGCTCTGGTGCCTTTATTTTGTCTAGTAAAATCCTATTTTACCCTTAAATAAAAATTAAAAAAATTTTTTTTGGTTCTTGGAACATTTCAGATTTGGATGTTTAAATAAGGATACTTAACATGTATTTTAGGTTTCAAGGGCTACAAGGTCTCTGTGGCAAGTAGTCAACTGTCTTATACTGTGCAAAATTAGCCATAGACAATATGCAAACAAATGGCTGTGTTCTAATAAACTTACTGAGAAGAACAGTTTACTGACTCCTGATCTAGTTGTGGACTACTTCTTTTTTTTGCAGTTTTTGGCCAGGGCTGGGTTTGAACCTGCCACCTCTGGCATAAGGGGCCAGCGCCCTACTCCTTTGAGACACAGGTGCTGCCCTAGTTGTAGACTTATTTATTTCCAGTATAGACCAGTGGTGCAAGCTTCTTTTGTCATACATTATTTCTTCCATCAAGGTACAAAAAATAAAGGTGCCAAAATTGTGGTATTTATTTATAGTGATAAGTAAAAGAGTTGAAGGTCCATACATATTTTCCTCCTTCAAAATGTGTTATCTGTTGTTGGGAGGTCAAAGTCCCAAAATTAGGATATTCTTTTTATTAACGAAATTAAAAGGTCCATGTACTTTTTCGTCTTTTAAAACCTATTATCTGTTATTGGGAGGTCAAGCTAGATTCCATATTGTCCTTCAGACTTCCAATTACACTCTTGCCTCAGGTTCTTTTCACTTACTGAAGCTGTATCTGGTATAGGCGTCACTCTGTCTTTTGGTTAGATTTATGGAGGATAACACTTTTTGAATGAAATCTTCCTCTACCATCTTACATACGCAGCAACCCAGTTCCACTCACACTTGCACTAGGCCTACTTCTCTCCATCCTCAATCCTTTGCTTTTCCTCCCAGGCACTTAGTGCCAGCTGCTGTACTCTGTATTTTTTGTTTAGTTGTTGACTATTAGACAGGAGGACAGAGACTTGTTTTCCTCTGCTTTATCAATAATGATTAAAATAGTTTTTAGCACATAATATCTAATAAAAGTGGTTGAAAAAATAAGTGGATAAATGAATGAATGAATAAATGGCCTGTATATTATTAATTAAAGCATTGATGCTTAAAAAAAATAATTGCACTTTTAACTTTCAGGAACAGAAAACAGTTCTTCCTTCAAAGCATGCAGTACCTGAAGTAATAGAAGATTTTCTCTGCAATTTCCTGATCAAAATGGGAATGACCAGAACTCTTGATAGCTTTCAGTCTGAATGGTAAACAATTATGTGGATAAATAGTTCTCTAGTAATGCTAACAACGTTTAACATGTATTTACTTTTTTATTCATTTATTTATGTAGAGACAGTGTCACTCTGTGACCCCAGAGAGAGTGGTGGCATCATAGCTCACAGCAAACTCAAACTCTTGGGCTCAAGTGAACCTCTTGCCTTGGCCTCCCACGTTGCTGAGACTTCAGGCACAAGAACATGACGCCCTCTAGTTTTTCTGTTTTTAGTAAAGATGGGGTTCCACTCTTGCTCAGGCTGGTCTTGAACTGTTGAGCTCAAGCAATCCATTGATCCATTGATCTTGGCCTCCCAGAGTGCTAGCATTATAGGTGTCAGCCACTGTGCCTGGCCCTAACATGAACACTTTTAACTCTCTTAACAGACTTTGAAATGACTCAGTTCATACAAAATATATGTAACCTTTCTCATGTCTACCTCTGAAACACACACACGCACATACACACAAAATCAAAATTATCAGTTGCAAAGATATTTTTATTAACCATCTTTCCCAAATATTGAAGTTTAAGCGATGTTTTTTAAATCAAGAGAATGGAATATCTCCTGGAGTTACAGAGTGCTGAGCTATTTTATGAAATACTTTCCTAATATTTTTGTGTGATTAGTGAGGATATTACTTCCTGTATTTTGACTCCTACTAATAGAACTACTTCACTTATTTTAATTATAGTATAATGGCTTGCCTTTTTCTACTCAAATAATTGATTCCTTGGCTATACATATTTTTTCATTTGTAAGTAAATGGAATTATATTTTAAAATATTATATAAACACTAGATTTCCTTGTCATAGCTTAAAATTTAATAACTTATTGGTTATGAAAATCAGCAGGCATGCTATCTTTATTCATTTCCTCTAGTAATAATGTTACCAGCCATGTTTTCAAATTGCTAACATTCTTTAGCAAAATATTATTAAATGATTGGATATGAAAATGTTCAATCTTTGAGAGCCTTTGCATATTATATAAGGAGGGATTAATATGATATATAAAGATGTTTAGAATGCTTTTGGACTAAGTCCACTTTAAATAGACAATTTATAATTACTGCTAATCCAGGTATGGTATAATTTTTATTTTTTTGACTATTTTGGCTTTCATACACTGTGGACATGTACATCTAATATTAATAAATTGAGGAGAACTATTTTTCATTAATACAAACTAAGAAAAACACTAAGTTTTGAGGTAGAAAAACAATATTGCTTCTTTTAAATCTAGAGATTGTGTGATTTAAAAATGATTTTTATAAAAATGTTCCTAAGAGATAGTTACAAATAGATTAGAAAATACATTTTTGTGAAAGAAGGTGAATGATTAATTTCCAGAACTGATTAAGTGAAAGTACCTTTTCTTTCATCTTCTAAGAACGCGTGTTAGGACATGTAGTGCTTGTGTATTAGGGCCAGTCCCAAATGTGACATGATTCCCTTAGAGAAATCTAGATCTTAGTATACTCTTAGCAGTTAGGTGATTGTTGTCATATTAGATGAGATGATGGTATTAGGATTTAAAAGGCCTCCAAGTAGGCATAGATAATATTATAATTAGAGGGTAAAATTTATTAAAGTATCTCTTTTAATATGGGTTTAGGAATATTGTGGTTCAGATAATTTTATCCTATTCCCTAGTTGCCAGGTTTCAGTGAGATCATACTGTGTTGGATACTTTTTTTCATATGAGGCATTTTAAAAAATTTTGATCAGAAATCTTTATTTGTTCTACTTAGTAGAACTGTAGGAATATCAAATATATGATTTTTATCATTTTCATTATAGAAAAAGATGTTTAGATATATTATTGCTGTGAATTCACTTAATCTTACAAAAGGTGACGAAACAAGGTTTTTCCATTGTTAGTTTGTGAAAAACAAACAAAACACAGGGTAGTAAAATTTGACTTCCGTTCTTCCAGTCCTCAAACAGAAAATACAATACATTTTTTAAAGCTAGGATCAGAAGACTAAGACCCTTGGGCTAAATTTGGCCTGCTTCTTGTTTTTGTAAATAAAATTTAAAAAAAAGTGAAAGACATGTACTTTTAGGTATTGTCCATGGCTATTTTCACACTAAAAAAGCAGTCATGACAGAGATAGCAGGAGCCACAAAGGTTTTCGGTTTTTTTGCAAATTCTAAAATAGTTATTTTATGACCCTTTACCAAAAAGGTCTCCAAGCCCTGTTTTATATAATATATATAGTTGAATATAGTAGGAATTTGTTGTATGAACCACTAAAAAGTTAGTAATGGGGATTTAGTCAATGTTGTTTTTATGTCTATTTAAGCTCTATGGACAGTGGTAATTTCCTTGGGGGAAAAAAATTGAAGAAGCGCTTAAAGTGGAGAAGATATGATGGTATAATTTAAATTCCTTCCCTGAGCACATGTCACCCATCTCTCTCCCCACACTTCATTAGGACTACTCACCCTAAATGTACAGTCTTGGTCTTTTTTTGCCCCCAAATTACCACCTTCTTTGTTAAACTCTTCTTCCTTTTCAGCCAATATTTTGAAAACAGGGTTTTTATTGTTTTCCTTTACTTTTTAAATTCCTATTCTATCATTTGTCTCTACTTTGGCCTCTTCCCACCATTGTGGAAGGTGGGTGGTAATAAAAATGCCATCATAGGCAATAGTGCAGTTATTAATAGCACTTAGTTATCAATTTATTTTTAAATTATAGCAGAGATTGCTAATTAGGAGTATATTTATTTAATTTGCCAAAAAGATTAATATTGCAGCTTTTAGGCAATAAATTTGGTATGATACAGGATTACTTCAATGTCAGCAGTGCAGTTTGAAACTTCTGGGGATGGTTAGATTTTACAGTGAGAGTCTAGAATTAAAATTATCCTTGAAAAAGCCCCAGTGTTGCCCAGTGTGCATAGGAAGCATATGTAGTGTTGTGTATACATCAGTGATTCCACAGACCACCACTCAAATCACTGTTCTTTCATCTTTAAACTTACTGCTGTCTCCTTAAAGGATGAAGACTTGGCTTCTGGTTATGTGTCATGTAAGAATTTTTCCACTAATCATTATTAAGTTGAATACAGAAATGTAGTTAGTTAC